ACGATGGAGGGGCTCAAGGTTTGGGACCCATACGACACCGTCATGGAGCTATGGCAACTTCGTTCTCTGCGTCCTGATGCTCTTGTGGTGTGCGCCCATCTTCTTCTAGGCTGCAAAGACACGGAGTCCTCCGGACTCGACGTGCTTGACCCGCTGCAGGCGCACCTCCTGAAGTGGGAGGCCCGCGCTGTTGCTGGAGGCGACCGTCTTCTTGACCAGTACGGCCGGCACTATAGGGAGAAGGACTTACATGGTGCACCTACCAGTCTCGAAGCTGCACGTCTGGTGTGTTGGTGGGCGACTATGTCTCCAACGCACACGCTGTTGCAGGCTGATGTGACAGGCGCCTACCTTCAGTCCCAGCTCGGAGGACGGCCGGTATGGATTGTCTTACCTCCGAGCCTATGGCCGAAATTGTGGTCCGAGAAAGGCTACAAGCAGCCCGTGTTGCGTTTACGGAAGGCTTTATACGGATTGCAGAGGTCCGGTTTTGATTGGGCCAAGAAGGCGCACAGCGTCCTCACTGCAGCTTGTTGGACTGTCATTCCGGATGTTGTGGACGCAGTGTATATCAAGCGGGACGGCACCAAGGTATGCATCATGGCTCTCTACGTCGATGACATTTTGGCCAGTGGGCCGAGCGACATGTTGACTGAAGCCTTGGATGCCATCTGAGGCGTTTCGTAGGTGCGGGCGATGCGAATCAGATGCCAGGATTTGCTTGCGCAATGAGGAGGCGTGTGGTTAGTGGTGTTCATTGACGCGCACAAATCCCATATCATATGATACAAAACGCGTCTCGATAGGAACCGTTGTTCCTGTCTTCTGCTGTAAGATTGACATGCCGTTCCGTGACTGCTACAAAACGCGTCTCGATAGGAACCGTTGTTCCTGTCTACTGCTGTGTTTCGCATTGGGCTTCAATCGCTACATCTCTAGGCTCTGTAGTTCACCACATGTTCTATAATATTTCAGAACATGTCAGCCCGTGTGCGTGACGTTGGTCATGGCGACTTGTGGCGCCCCTGGGGGCGGACAGATCGTGCCCCCCCTCCAAGGCGCACGGCGCAGGTTGAGCTAACGTGCGCATTTTGCGCAACGAATGAGGCACTGTAGAGTTGGCGTATTTGGAAGTGAGTGTGGCGACACCTCTCTTCATAGACTGAGTGTGGCGACGCCCCAGCTGCACATTACATCCTTGACCATTTTGGCTCAAGGCCCAAGGACCGACGTACTTCAGCACATTATGCCTGAAAAAACGAAAGTTCGAGACCGAAGTCACAAGTTTCGAGAAACGTCTGTGTACGACCGTTCATTCACTTCTTTGCGACAGGTTTCATATTCCTTACAACAGGAGCGAGCCATATCCAATACCAATCAACATCGCCATCAAACATTTGGTAAGCGTTGCCAATGGAGGGGTCCCCACAGCCGTCGACACCTTTAACAACAACCACATATATCCTCCCTGGAACCCTGGGAGCCCGCCTGAGACATCCTCGAACTCCTGAGCTCTGAGATGCCCTGCGCGAGGTGGTCCAGCCCGTCTTGCCTGAGACATCCTCGCAACTCTGAGCTCTGAGATGCCGTGCGCAAGGTGGTCCGGCCCGTTTCGCACAAGACATCCTCGCAACTCTGAGCTCCCAGATGCCGCGCAAGAGGTGGTCCAGCCTGGGGGCCCAGAAGACCACATGTTACATATCCTCCCTGGGAGTCCCAGGAGGCCCCAGAGAGCTTCAGGAGGCCGCAGGACGCCCAGGACAGGCCCCAGGGGTCCGCAGGAGATTCCCAGGAGGCTCCCAGGAGGCCCCAGGAGGCCCCCTATCAGAGCGTGTGAAGTTAATCCACATCTGGTGTCGATTCGTTGATTTTTCCTGCTCTTGTGCCCCCCCCTCCATTTTGGGGGGCCCAAGCGGCCACAGGTTAGATATCCCCCCTGGGAGCCCCAAGAGGCGTCAGGAAGGCCTAGGTGGAGTTCAGGAGGCCACAGGAGGCCCAGGAGGAAACCCCAGGAGGTCCCCAGGAGGCCCCAGGAGGCCCCAGGCGGCCCCCGCAACTCGGAGCTCTGAGACGCCGCGCTCGAGGTGGTCCGGCCCGTTTCGCCTGAGACTTCCTCGCAGCACGTTTCGCCCGAGACACCGGCCCGTCTCGCCTGAGACATCCTCGCAATTCTGAGCTCTGAGATGCCGTGCGCAAGGTGGTCCGGCCCGTTTCGCACAAGACATTCTCGCAACTCTGAGTTCCCAGAGGCCGCGCAAGAGGTGGTCCAGCCTGGGGGCCCAGAAGACCACATGTTACATATCCCCCCTGGGACCCTGGGAGCCCCAGGAGGCCCCAGAGAGCTTCAGGAGGCCGCAGGACGCCCAGGACAGGCCCCAGGGGTCCGCAGGAGATTCCCAGGAGGCTCCCAGGAGGCCCCAGGAGGCCCCCTATCAGAACGTGTCAATTTAATACAAATCCGGTGTCTATTCGTTGATTTTTCCTGCTCTTAGGGCCCCCTCCATTTTGGGGGGGCCCGACGGCCACATGTTAGATATCCCCCTGGGAGCCCCAAGAGGCTTCAGGAAACCCCAGGTGGGGTCCAGGAGGCCACAGGAGGCCCAGGAGGAAGCCCCAGGAGGTCCCCAGGAGGTCCCAGGAGGCCCCAGGAGGCCCCCGCAACTCGGAGCTCTGATACGCCGCGCTCGAGGTGGTCCGGCCCGTTTCGCCTGAGACTTCCTCGCAGCACGTTTCGCCCGGGACATCGTCGCAACTCTGGGGTCCGAGATGCCGCGCGCGAGGTGGTCCAGCCCGTTTCGCCTGAGACATCCTCGCAACTCTTGGCTCCGAGACTGCCCGAGGTGGTCTGGCCCATCTCGCCTGAGACATCCTCGCAACTCTGAGTTCTGAGATGCCGTGCGCAAGGTGGTCCGGCCCGTTTCGCACAAGACATCCTCGCAACTCTGAGCTCTCAGATGCCGCGCAAGAGGTTGTCCAGCCTGTGGGCCCAGAAGACCACATGTTACATATCCCCCCTGGGAGCCCCAGGAGGCCGCAGAGAGCTTCAGGAGGCCGCAGGACGCCCAGGACAGGCCCCAGGTGTCCGCAGGAGATTCCCAGGAGGCTCCCAGGAGGCCCCAGGAGGCCCCCTATCAGAACGTGTCAAGTTAATACACATCCGGTGTCGATTATCCCCCCCTGGGAGCCCCAAGAGGCTTCAGGAAACCCCAGGTGGGGTCCAGGAGGCCACAGGAGGCCCAGGAGGAAGCCCCAGGAGGTCCCCAGGAGGTCCCAGGAGGCCCCAGGAGGCCCCCGCAACTCGGAGCTCTGAGACGCCGCGCTCGAGGTGGTCCGGCCCGTTTCGCCTGAGACTTCCTCGCAGCACGTTTCGCCCGAGACATCGTCGCAACTCTGGGGTCCGAAATGCCGTGCGCGAGGTGGTCCAGCCCGTTTCGCTGGAGACATCCTCGCAACTCTTGGCTCCGAGACTGCCCGAGGTGGTCTGGCCCATCTCGCCTGAGACATCCTCGCAACTCTGAGTTCTGAGATGCCGTGCGCAAGGTGGTCCGGCCCGTTTCGCACAAGACACTCTCGCAACTCTGAGCTCTCAGATGCTGCGCAAGAGGTGGTCCAGCCTGGGGGCCCAGAAGACCACATGTTACATATCCCCCCTGGGACCCTGGGAGCCCCAGGAGGCCCCAGAGAGCTTTTGGAGGCCGCAGGACGCCCAGGACAGGCCCCAGGGGTCCGCAGGAGATTTCCAGGAGGCTCCCAGGAGACCCCAGGAGGCCCCCTATCAGAACGTGTCAAGTTAATCCACATCCGGTGTCGATTCGTTGATTTTTCCTGCTCTTGTGGCCCCCCCCCCATTTTGGGGGGCCCCGACGGCCACATGTTAGATATCCCCCCCTGGGAGCCCCAAGAGGCTTCAGGAAGCCCCAGGTGGGCTCCAGGAGGCCACAGGAGGCCCAGGAGGAAGCCTCAGGAGGTCCCAGGAGGTCCCAGGAGGCCCCAGGAAGCCCCCGCAACTCGGAGCTCTGAGACGCCGCGCTCGAGGTGGTCCGGCCCGTTTCGCCTGAGACTTCCTCGCAGCACGTTTCGCCCGAGACATCGTCGCAACTCTGGGGTCCGAGATGCCGCGCGCGAGGTGGTCCAGCCCGTTACGCTGGAGACATCATCGCAACTTTGGGCTCCGAGATGCCGTTCGGGATGAAGAGGAGGAGGAGGAGGAGGAGGAGGAGGAGGAGGAGGAGGAGGAGGAGGAGGCATGTTTTAACAAGCCATGCCAGCCCGCACTGGACGGGCACGCAATCGACCTTGGAAACCGCAGTGGGTCTAAACACCCTGCTTGGGGATACTGCACTCCGGCTATGATTTTGTTTTTAGCTACGTCCTTGGAATACGAGCGCTTTCATGAATTATCACAGGCAGACCTGTGTGATCAGCCCCTGCCTGCCCAACAGCAGGGGCCAGAAGGATCGAAGGGACGACGACAACGATGGCGGCGTCGGCGTCGATGTCGACTAACGACGGCGACGACCACGACCACGACCACGACGGCGGCGACGGCGACGACTACGACCACGACGATGGCAGCGTCGGCGTCGATGTCGACTACAGTCGGCCCTGATTAGTAGGTCGGCCGCGACGACACGGCCCGGTCAGGCCGCCGGCGCCTCGGGCCGCCGAGGGGGCCGCCGAGGGGGCCTCGAAGGCCGCCGAGGGGCCTCGAAGGGGGCCCTTCGGGCCTCGAAGGGACTCGAAGGCCGCAGGCCGCCCGGGGAGGGCTCTCCGGGAGGAGGCCGGCGGCGGCGGCGGCGGCGGCGTCGGCGGAGCGCCTCTGAGGGGCCCACTTTCCACCACCACCTACCATGTGTAGGGCGGGGGAGAAGGGAGGACGAGGAGGTCCTCCTCCTTCTCCTCCTCCTCCTGTTCCTCCTCCTCCTCCTCCTCCTCCTGCTCCGCCCTCTCCTGCCTGTGGTAGTGGTGGTGGGAAAAGGGGCCCCTGAGCCGCGGGGCAG